TACTACTACTACTACTTCTGTGACGACGACCCGCGGTGCGACCGTGCTGTCACCCCCCCGCGGTGTGACAGTGCTGTCACCCCCCGCTGCCGCATTCCTCACCACCTAGTCAACCATGTTGCTTAATGAATCAGAAATGTCGCATTCCTATCTCTAGCGACAAAGTGTCAGGGCAGCCCCACGGGGGGCGCCAGGTATATCTGTAAGCGTGAGAGTGGTAGTAACAGCGTCAGACACGCGTGGGGGGGCACTATACTACACATACACAGGCACGTGGAACGTCTCAATAAAAAAAAATTATGGTAAATAAACACATGAAATCTATTTACTACCAAAGTCTCAATGTTTCTCGACTCTCTTTCGCCTATTATTGCTGATAACTTCCTGTAAATGCCGTTCAAATGCTCCTCTGCAACAGACGAGTACACCGCACGCACGCTGCTGTGCACAAACAACAAGTATAATAGAGTACGAGTGTTGCAGATGAGGAGCATATGAACAGCATTTACAGGAAGTTATCGGCAATTATAGGCGAAAAAGAGTCAAGAAACATTGAGAACTTGGTAGTGAATAGATTTCATGTGTTTATTTACGACAATTTTTTTTATTGAGACGTTCCAAGTGCCTGTGCTATATTAGGCCATGTATGCTCAGCAATCAGACTACCATCGTCATCATCATCATCATCGCCATCATCATCATCATCATCATCATCATTGTCATCATCACGCGCGGATGAGCGCCAAGGATGCTGCATGTTTACCCAGCTTCGACCGTCCTTTCATCGCAACTACGGCGGAAGAGAGATGAGAGATGTTTGGTACTCGGGATGCGAGGCGGGTGGATGACAATGCGGTGTGGGCGTACGCCAACTCACGTGCGAAATTACCACGCCTGAACATCAAAGCATGGCAAGCAAAGCAAGGCGTGAATGAATGGCCTGCCATTATATCACACACTCAATACACGCGCTGGCGTGTATCAATAGATAAATAGCTATAACGCACGCACGCACGCATACACACGTACACGGATTTTATTAGTAGGTCATATACGTGCCTACATCACATAATTATACACTCCAACGCCACCGCTCTCGAGGGAAGCACAAGGCAGTATAAACACCGCAATAGTGAGGCACCAGGATTGAGACTGAACGCCACACAGTTGGACGTGACTTTATATTTATTATTGTTCTTCTAGGAAATCTTTCAGCTAAAGGGTTATCTCCGATTATACCATGAAAGTCAATCGGAAAGCGTGATTCACGTTACGGATTTTCGCGTTACGAACTTTTTTTTATGAACGCATTACTAACGTAGGGCGGGGTATAACTCTAGTACTATAGCCCGCGTACAGTTGCCGCAGGCACTGCCGCACTGGCCGCCTGCGGCAACTGTACGCGGGCTATAGTACTAGAGCTAGGCGGGGTATAACTGAACGATGATAACAAACCAGCTCCTGCCTCATGCACTTACTTACCCCTACCTTCTCTACACACTGATTTACACACCCTCCCACTATCATCATCCATAACCACCACCCTCCCTCCTCCATCACCCATTCCTCACCCCACCCACCTCATGTTCCTACTACCACCACCCTCCCTCCTCCATTACCCATTCCTCACCCCCACCCACCCCATGCTCCTCCACCCTCCATCTTCCAGCACACACAGCCCAGCCTCCCCCACCGTGTCAGCAGGCGGTACTCACCAGCATATAATACAATCCTCAGGTACGGGGTATAGCCACTGTGAGCGGCTGTAGTGTCATACACACACACACACACAGCATGAAATCATCACTTACAACGACACTAACAACACACTACAACACAAACAACACTATAACTCATTATAACTCACTATAACACTAACAGCACACTACAACACAAACAACACTATAACTCATTATAACTCACTATAACACTAACAACACACTACAACACAAACAACACTATAACTCATTGTAACTCACTATAACACTAACAACACACTACAACACAAACAACACTATAACTCATTATAACTCACTACATCACTAACAGCACACTACAACATTAACAACACTATAACTCATTATAACTCGCTATAACACTAACAGCACACTACAACACAAACAACACTATAACTCATTATAACTCACTATAACACTAACAACACACTACAACACAAACAACATTATAACTCACTATAACTCACTATAACACTAACAGCTGCACACTACAACACTAACACGGCGCCACCTACCGGCCATGCATCAGCTGCTTGAAGGAGTGCGAGGGTTGGTGGGCAGTGATCTCCTCTGTGCCGAGGGACTGTCGCTCCGACGCCCGCCGCTGCTCGCTGGACGACAACTTCTTACGCCTGCTCTTCCAGCCGTCGAGATTCTGTGTGACCCGGAGAACACGATATATTATTATATATATTAAAGTGATTACGTCACCGTAAATAGTAACAATTAAAAAACATTTCCATTTTTCCACAAAATACAAGTAATTCTGT